GTGGCCCTGCCGTCTCTGGGAGGCAGGTGTCGGTGGCTGTCAGGAAGGGGGATACACCTGGCTCTCTCGCTCACCTGAGAGATTCCCGGGCCGGTTAGGAACCCCAGGAAATCGCCTGGAAGGCCTGTTTCTCTCTTATTAACAAGGGAAAACACGAGGCTTCCACTGTCCTTCTCACAGGACAATCCCAGCTCCTATGGGAGGCACGATGTCCTTGCGGCCATCCACTGCCCAGGTCCCCCTCCCACGTTGAAGACTGGGCCCCGCTGCCCCCGCTCTGCCATGTCTGCTACCACTGACCAGCTTTCAGAACCTTCTGGTCCTGGGGGCAGCAGCGTCTTGGTTCTGCGTGTGAGCCTGAGGCTACCCACCCTTTCAAATCTTTGTCTTCCTGTCTGCAAAATGGGGGTGGTCGTAGTGCATCTGTCACCTGAGGTTGCAGGGAGATTACGCAGGTTGATGTGCATAGAAAACACCCTCCGGAGGGCCTGGCGCATGCAGGCGTCGGTACCGGCTCTGGTGCTCTCCCAGTTTCCTGTGACATCAGCGGCCCGTGAGCTCTCTGTGCTCCCTCTGGTCTCTGCGTGTGCAGCAGGGAGGATGGTGACGCCTGGCTCTTTGCACTGTCTGTCACCGTGACCATGCGTATTAAGTGATTCACAGTATGTCTTATAGAAAGTACCAGAATAATGTGACCGCCCCGCATCATCCCATTTGCTCCTCACCGCTTCCATTTTTTTTCCTAGGGGGTGGCATGGACATTTTATAAATGAGATACTGTGAAAAATGGTTCTTTAGTACTCCCATTACCATGGCGGGATTAGGTCACCCACTGCAATTTTAGATTTGCTTAAAAAAAATTCTTGCCATCACCTCCTAATGGATGATCTGTGTACAACAATTGTTTATCGACTGTGGGTGTCGGAGTCCCGGGGTCAGTCTGTTTCGGGGGGGGGGAAGCGTTAATTAACTCCGGCGTGCGGCCGGGATCCTTCCCGACGGTGTGGCTCGCGGCCTTGCCC